GCTCTGAGAGGTTTGAGCAATGACCACAGAGCTGGACTACTGACCTGGAAGAGGGGAACCACTTTGATATCAAAACCTGGACTGGCAGCGTCCCTCGGTCACTATTTGAATGTTGAAACACTGAAATCTCTGAGGCTACATTCACACTGACAGTGTTTGGGATTGCTGAATTTACTGAAAGGTGTAAGTCTCAAGATGTCCTGTTCACACAGTCGTTTATAGTAAGAGCTTGAAGACTTTCTGTATGAACACCCTGTTGTAAAAACCAGCAAATACTGGTTAGATATGTTTTGAAGCATGGTAGCTTGTTTGAGCTGGTTCTTAGCTGGTCAGGAGCTGGTTTAAGCTGGTCCTGAGCAACTAGCTCCTGCTCAGGACCAGCTTAAACCAGCTCATGACCAGCTAAAGACCAGCTTAAACCAGTTCCCATGCTTCAAAACATACCTAACCACATATGCTGTTTTTTGAACAGGGCATGCAATGGAAGTAAAGCCTGTATTCTATTCGAGACCATCACCTCTAACAATATCAAAGATGGTGAGATAAACAAAACTTTAAAGTCTTCTCACTAAAGAAATGAAAAAAGTCCAATTGTGAGTTCATCCATCACATTTTAACTAGCCTCCAGAAGCTTTTTATAGTAGACAGTGGCGCAAACTGATGGGAGAAAACCTTCAGCTGACAGGCCCAATTGCATCTTTGTAAGCTACCAAAATCACACAAGAAACCTGAAACACTTAATAGACACTTAAGTAAAACTTGGAGTGGCTCTCTCGCGTTGAATGAATTGAAGATTAATTGGCCAATCCAATTTCTGTTTACACACCATGGGTTTTCCGGAAATGAGTGAGTCCTGAAAATGTAACAGTGTGTGAGTTTGGTTAGACCCTGTAAGAAAAAAAAATCGTAGACCAACAGAAAAGGTACTGGTACAGGTATATGACAACATCTGTTAAGTTTACTGACATTTCCTTCATTTCTAAAACACAACACAATGCAAGGACTCATCGAAGTATGACAAGCGTATTCTGCTGCTGCGAGAACTTGGCCCAAATCTCTTTAAGAAGTTTTAATAACATATTTTAAATCAGTGATAAAATCTGACAACAATGACTTAATTTAGTTCAAATGATGAAATCAAAACAATTCTCAGGCTAGTCCTGCTAATGAAAATACACATTCTAGTGCAGGGTTCCTCAATAGGCGGCCCACGGGCAATATCCGGCCTGTGAGAAAATTTTTTTTGGCCCGTGCTAATTTCAAATAATGTGGCATGAAAATTCAAACGCAGTACGACGCAACAAAATACAATAGAACCCATTATAATCGGTGATGCTACCTACACTGGATGCGGCGCGACACGACAAATCCCCGACAGTAAACTGCTGACTCGTTCTATTTATGACGTACTGACACAAAGTTCAATTGATTTGAAATGCTTTGTCGCGTCCAGTGATACGATGTGACAGCAAAAACATGGCGAGTGTGAAGAAAAGAAAAGTGGACATGGAAAATAGATGATTTAAATGTGAATGGACTGAACAGTTTTGAGTGAGTGAGTGACTAATACCATCTTTGTTATGGAATAAACGTGTTGGTTCGCAGTGTAATTTATTTTTAAGATCTGAGGTAAAATATCTATTGTTGCATTCACTATAGCTATAAAGATCACACAAAATAATATTCAAACTCACATTAGACAATTTTAACATTGAATAAAGCACATAATCATTTACTGAGATTATCACTGTCATATTTTGTATGTTGTTCCTGCGGTGATGTCGCAGAAAATAAAAAAACATTTCTAAAATAGAATCCCGTGTCGCTGTCACAGGTGGTTAGGACAAAAACTACTAAAATATACTTTTTATTGCTTCGCGTTGCGTCTGGTTGGGACACACGTTGTTACAGTTTGATTGTTTTTAATATTCAACAGGCAAAGTTCTTCTGTATCCAGGGGCGTAAATTTAATCAAACAGTAGGGGGACAATAAACTAAAATTCTCAAGAGCAATTTTTGAAGGGGACACAAATAATACAGCTAAAATTGTACTTGTAAGGATATGTATACACAGAAGAAAGCCTTACTACTATTAGTGCAGAAGGGAGACTGCGCCAAATTAGACAACTTCAAGCTGTAGTGGTTGCGCCGCGACACAGCACTCGTGTCCATTGTAGACATTACTATCCGTCACCGTGTTGCCAAGTCCGCGGTTTTCCCGTGGAATTGGGATACTTTATCACTGTTGCGGGTTGTTTTTCATATCCGCGGGTTGAAGCGACCCCAATAATGTGTATTTTATCCCCCGGAACGCGATTTTTACCGGGGGACCCCCTCGAAACGCGGATAGTTTGGGTTAGTTTTGAGTAGCAATTGAGCGGATTTTGTTATGAAAACCTGGCAACCTTTTCCGTCAAGCAGGTAACATTATTATTGTTAACAAAGCGACTCATTGAAAAATACATTGGCATTATCTGTATTAAAGAGAAAATAATCACTTCATCCGATGTTTAAGTGAATAAAATAGCCTTGAAAACCTTACTTACTGGAGTTCCATAACTATTAGCTTTGGTCTCTCTCACCAGACTTGTGTGTGTGTGTGTGTGTGTGTGTGTAGGTGATGTAAAAGAGGAAAGCAGGCATTTGGACCAAATCACCAAATGAGGCAAGGGAGGGGGAGACTCAAAATGTTTTTAAACTTAAAATGCATTTTTGCCCCGTTTGTGTTGTTTTACTAAAACAGTGGGCATTAAAATATTTAATCGCGATTAATCGCATGATTGTCATGAGTAACTTCATCGCACCTTTTTATCTGTTCTAAATGTACCTTAAATTAATACTTTTCGAGTTTTAATACTCTAATCAACATGGGCATGGACAAATATGGATGCTTTATGCAAATGTATGTTTATTATTAGTGAAACCATAGTCAACATAGAGTATGAAGACTAGACATGTTTCAAAGGTCATAGATGTTAGAGGTAAAAGAACTTGTTCATGTCTATTAGACACATGAAAAAAAAGAACATAGAAATACCAGGTTCCCATTACTTCTCTTTATTTGCACTGAGCTATTTACTTACACAAGCCTGTTTACATTATTTGCAGGACAGGGCAGCTCACTTCTTCTGAACATGCAAAATGTACATTTATTATTTATTAATACATTTGTTTGCCTTTCTGTGCCCACATACTGTATTTTGATGCAGCTAAATTCTCAATAAACTGTTTCATTTATATAATTTACTGTTTCTGTTGTCAGACAATGGAATGAATATGAAATAGTGACAGAACTGCGATCCATTAAAAGACTACATTACTAGCTCTCCCTTCCAAGATGTTAACCTGCACAAAAATCCTGATTTATAATCGAGCCGTCGTCTGATGAAATCAAATACACATAAGATAAAGACAATAGCTGTGCTGTGATTTCGGCTATACTTGCATGTAAAATTAGAGAAGCAACATAATATCTGGCTTAACTGAAAGCGCTGCTCCTCTGCCGCTCGCTAAACAGAGCAGACGCAGATAGAGAGGTGTGTGCGCAGCGGGAAACAAGAGACCTTGCGCTCGCACGGCAGTACTGGCGAGTCTCAGAAACAAAATAAGGTTTGGGTAAACCCTACAGATTTGTCGCTATGCACTTTTTTGAGAAAAAAAAAGTAGCAAAAGGGGTCCGAAAAGTTGCTAAATCGCTAAGTTGGCAACTGTGCATCTCCATTTCTCCAACTATGGGTTAGGCCACGAGTCAAACGGAAAATGCGCGCTGCGTTAATCACGTGCTAATAAAATTAGTGCCATTAAAATACATTTGCGTTAACGTGATAGCCCTAATATATATATATATATATATATATATATATATATATATATATATATATATATATAGAAGCAACATAATATCTGGCTTAACTGAAAGCGCTGCTCCTCTGCCGCTCGCTAAACAGAGCAGACGCAGATAGAGAGGTGTGTGCGCAGTGGGAAACAAGAGACCTTGCGCTCGCACGGCAGTACTGGCGAGTCTCAGAAACAAAATAAGGTTTGGGTAAACCCTACAGATTTGTCGCTATGCGCTTTTTTGAGAAAAAAAAGTAGCAAAAGGGGTCCGAAAAGTTGCTAAATCGCTAAGTTGGCAAGTGGCCCTTGGCTTGGCATTGTTGGCAGAATTTGGCCCTTGGCAAAAACTAATTGAGGAACTCTGTTCTAGTGTAAACAATAAGGTGATTGGCCTTTGTTATTCTAAGGCAGGGCTTCCTACAACTGCTGCAATAGTTGTATCAATAAAAGCAACCAACTCTAAAGCAGAACTACAGATGCCATATTTAACGTTACAATTTCTCCCATTCAAGTGGTCTATCTCCACCCCTTTTGATGTCTCAGATGCTAAAATCGACACTGAAGCACCATCCGCCTGCAGCAAACTGTTAGTTCCTGTGGGATCTGGAGCTAGAATGCTGATGACAACTTGGAAAAGCTGTGGCCCTCAGGCATGTACATTGTGAATAAGTAAATAGCAAATAAGCTGAAAAACCTACACTTGTGCAGTCAGAATAACAACATCCATCCAATCCACTGCAATTTTTATGTTTTACTGTTTGTGGCCACTCTATCATACTTTAACTTGTTTACAAACTCTTTACATTCACTTCATGTTAAAGGGGTAATGTCGTCATTTTAAGGGCCTCTTTCACTGACCCTTCAATAAAATGAAATCTGAATGTAAACCCATTGTCAAAAAGACAAAAATATGTATTTTAAAATCCCACTCATAATTACTCAATCATAATTACAAATTATTTATTTATTTTTTAATATTAAATTGTTTCATGCCTGGTAAGAAACATTTATAGTCTAAATTTATGCAAACCCTCAGTACGTTGATTTCGACCCTGTATAGGTCAATTCACCTCACTCTGTCCTTCAAAAAAACATTTTCACAAAAAACTGCAAAGTACTTCTACAAAGAACACGTTCTGTAGCATCAGCATTGAATAACTCACCTTTACGGGCGATGCGGATGCAGTTTATTCTAGTTTCCTGTGAGAAAAGAGAACAGAGATGCAGTGTCACGCTGTGGGAAACAGTCAAACGGCAGAAATAAGACAGTCTGATACCTGATGAGAAGTCAAATGGGCTCACACTGACTTTTGCTGATTCAACAACAGCATGAATGCCAGTAAAAGAGTAAAAATACATTTAAAAACAGCACCGTGTCTCACTCACCTACGCTATTGTGTGTGTGTGTGTACTTTTCGAGTGTGGCGATAAGATATAAGCCTTTAATGTACAGAAAATGGCAGCGGAAGACAAAAGAGGCGGGGGGGATGACTTCCAGCCAGGAGAGAATTATAAAAAGGAATTAATTTGTTCAAAATCACAGTTGATGACATACTGGTGTTATGAAAACGACCTTTGTCAAATAGCGCTAATGAGATCCGAGCCCATAATCCAATTCCGGCCTGCCACCTCGACGAGAAGATGCATTATCAAATTAAGATTTACAGATGCTAATTTGGGCATTATGGAACAATTATGCAAATCTTCCCATCCGGAAAAGGAGTGAGCGGCCTCTGCTCAAACTGCGGCTGAATTGCTTTTTTTAATTGAAAATTCAATCCAAACTGCCTTGGCTCCTAAAGCCTGTCATAACCCTATATCATCTCAGAAAACACAAAAGGGAAAGCGAGGCCGGTAGGAAGAGGAAAAAAGGTAGAGAGGGACTCGCATTGATATTTCAAGAGAGGGAAGAGGGACACACATAGATATTTTAGCCCCCCTAAAACATCCACACGCTTAAAAATGTCATGTAGGCCAATCCAGGCTTTCCGAGAAACTCATCTTTATCTGTTTCAGCAGCCATCATTGAGATGCAAGTGTGCCATGGCTCCCAATACACACTCTCCCATGAGAGCATATCGCAGGGATAAAGCAAACACTGCCTGTTTTCTCCAAGCACAGAGCCGGTCCTAGATGTCACACTGTGAGAAGTCATAGCTCACCATGCGTGTGAGAAAAGACTGACCCCGAATGACAGGCGAGAGACAGCCAGTGGGCTTTGATCAGACAGACGCAGACACAAAGCTTTAAGCTTCCCTGCTCTATTTAATCAAATTTGTGGGAACGGTCATGGCAGGCACTGCAAAAGGGGATCTGTCAGCAAACTCAAGCTAAGTAAATGAATTATGAGCACTATAAATATAACAGGCCCAGGGAGGCATGGGAAAGGAACTTATTAGAAAGCTCCTACTTGGTTCAGAGAAGACGAAAGGAGGCATGCAAGAAAAAGAGAGGGGGGAAATAAGAATGAATGTTATTTTCCATAGGAAATGAGGCCTCCCAAATCAATTGTGCTACTGTAATGTGAAAAAAATTAATCTAGTCTAATTGTGAGTGATATTGTGGTTTACAAAAGTATAAACATCATGGAAGTATAAATGTTAGTGCCTTTATGCTGAAAAAAAACCAATGAATCATAGCATAAATATTTAAAGTAAAAAAATACTGATTTAAAGTCATGAGAAATACCATTGAAAGTAGGAACAACAAAAAAGTAAAAGATAATACATTTTATTGAAAAATAAGTTTTGATGAAAGATGAATTGTCATGAAAAATTCACAATGCAAAAAATGTAATCTATTTATTGAATAATGCATAAATATTTGAAGATACAACTTTTTTTGTGTTTTTTTTAAATATATATACATATATATATATATATACACACATACACACACACACATTTATATATATATATATATATATATATATATATATAGCATACACACTGAACAAAATTATAAACGCAACACTATTGTTTTTGCCCCCATTTTTCATGAACTGAATTCAAAGATCTAAGGCTTTTTCTATAATCCATCCCCCTCACAGGTGTGGCA